CCACAATTATTTGTTGGGAAATTTTAATCTCTCTGCATACTAGGATATGCGCAATTTCAAAGTCGACTCACAATCAATAAGATATAAAATAACTACAATCAAGAAAAAAGAACACCGGAATTTACGTGGTTCGGTCGATTAACTTCGACCTACGTCTACGGGTAACAATACGAGAAATCCACTATGTATCAGGGAGAACTATAAGAGAAACCACTCAACTCTCATCTCTCAATCTCGCAACCTAACATACATAATCAACTTTTATATTATCTCGAAAGCACACTTCTTACAAGCTTTTGAACGGACAAAGATTGTGAAACCCTCTCCTAATAATGTAATCTTTTGTACGGATAAAGACTACGAAATTCTTCCTTTCGCATAATATTCTTGAATCAGGCTACGCCTTCTACTAACCCTAGATTACAAGAATATTGGCTCTCTCTCCTATGTTTAGTTTTTCCCCATTAATAGAAGGATATATATAGGGAAACCAAAACCCTATCTCTAGCCTAAGTTCCTAATTAGAATATGATTCAAACTCCTAATCATGACAAAACCTGTATGATAATTTACCATCTAGAGATAAGAATGTCGAAAGATTGACTATAAAGGCCCAAAAAGCCATGGTCCTGACCGGCTTAAGAAACTCAGAAGCCCGGACCGAGGTCAAGTCTATTGACCAGTCAAGCAGGCGAGCCCTCTCTCGACCAAGAGTCGTCATAACCGACTCGAAGTGAGGGACCAGTCGATCCTCCGCAATTAAGATGACTCCCCGAGCGGACGTCTCAATGGCGCTCTCGTCCCAAAACTCACTCAGTTATCGGTCAACAAATCATAGTAATGACTCACGGATCAACCCCGCCTCAACTAAATGGATAAGATCCGACCAAGACCACTTCAAATGTCACTCGAAGCTGCATCATTGACTAGTCCCATCAAGATCTACACTCTGACAAGGATCTCCTGCACAAGCCGCCAATTCCAATCACAAGTCATTTCCCAGAGAATTACCATGATGCTTCTCTGTACACAAATGACTTCTCCTCCAATTCTCAGCCGCCACCTGGAGAAAGAAGGATGGTCACACAGCCGACCTACCCTACACCCTGCCTACTCTGACAAACCCTGAGAAGACTTCTCTCCCCTGACACCGAGTGACTTCCCTCCCAGTCGTCTGCCGACACCTGGAGGAAGAAAGATGACTCAGCAGTCTGCCTGTTCACCTTTCAAACCGCCTCCTGTGCATAGTCAACAAAAGCTGAGGGCCAAACTCCCAGAGGCAAGGGGGCTATAAAACGAGGTAAGGAAGGTAAGGGCGAGAGGGCTCTGGCTACTTCTTCTTGCACCTTAGCTTTACTCCCCTTTTGTATTTTAATAATTCCAACAAGAAAAACCCCCTGCAAGGACCTCAATGACCCATGGGCCTCTCAATAAACCCTCCCCAAGTTCATCAACTGACTTGATCGTCAGAGGTACCACGGGGGAAACTAGCCCCGTATTCCTATGATTCTTATATGTGTAGGTTATCAGTCCACCCCGCATGCTCAAGATCAGGCATAAAGTCGGAGGAGAAATCGGTCCCAACATTCATCCTCTCCTTCTTCCCCACCGTCACCAAGATCGAAACTGCATCCGACTGTGGGAAACCCCCATCGACTGTTTGTTCACGAGCATCAACAAAACCCAATCTCCTAATCATGATAGATCTCTAACATTATCTAATTCTCATAAAGTTATACAAAGAATCAAAGACATAATCCTAACAATCTCCACCTTGGATTTGATTCCCAAACTCCCTTGAAGATATATTGTTGTTGTCTTAAAACTTTGCATCTCCCGCTAGAATCTTCTATTTCTTTCACACTTCAAATCAAAACACCTGCACTCCCAACTAGATGCCTTTATGACCCTCGCTATCATCTGCCTCGTTGCAACGCCTCGACCTCTCTTGTACGCGCCAAGAGATCTTCGTCACCTCTGACATCAGAAGCAAATCAATCATGCTTCTCCTCCTAACTTGAGCTAACAATAGCCTCCCCCCACTTATTGTCCTTGTGCTCCACCTGCATCGCTCGTCTCAAACTATATCGGTGAAACCTCTCCTACTCCACACTACGAGCCGGGTGTCTCTATTTCCTCCATCACTTAGCTTGGACCGAATATGAACGCCCATCGTCTTTAAGTCCAATGCCACCATCTTCATCTCCCTATGTGTCACTTGGTCGTACCTGCTTGCAAGCTCCATCAAATCTGACATTGTTCTCCTCGAGTCTACACACCAACCAACTCTTGCTCCTGTGATGGCTTTGAATAATTATATGCTGACAACTCTATTGCTAGAATCACATATGATTCTCTACACCAGTCTCATCCATCGCATACTCATTTGCCCTATCTGCCGTCATATTTGTTTTGCCATTGAATAGAGGAATATCAAACTTCGGACCCGAAGAAATCATCATCCTCTAACCATAATCAAAATTTAAATTAGTCACTATAGAGATTGTCTTTGATAAAACCGACATTAAAAATGAACACAGCACGTCGAAAAACCCTAGGAACGACTCCTGGATCACAAAAACCCGCCTCCAAATCTTCGATCAAAAGACAAATCAATCTGCACCGTCAGATTTAATTTAATAGCTTGTAAGCAAATCCTCACCTACGTGAATAGTGCTCCTGCCATAGCTACAATATTCTCTGCTACAGTACCTTCTTTTTTTTCTTCGTCTTGATTCTTTTAACGCCGATCTTCAATCTTGCACATCGTCTTCTATCTTACGAACTTGCTCCCAGATCCATCATCATGGCTCTGATACCACTTGTTGGAGAATTTTAATCTCCCCGCCTACTATGATATGCGCAATTTCAAACTTGACCCACAATCAATAAGATATAAAAAATATAATCAATAAGAAAGAACAACGAGATTTACGTGGTTTGGTCGACAAACTTCGACCTACGTCCACAGGCAACAATACGAGAAATCCACTTTGTATCAGGGAGAACTACAAGAGGAACCACTCAACTCTCGTCTCTCAATCTCTCAACCTCACATACATAAGCAACTTTCATATTATCTCCAAAGCACTCTTCTTACAAGCTTTTGAACGGACAAAGATTGTGAAACCATCTCCTAATAATGTAATCTTTTGTACGGATAAAGACTACGAAACTCTCCATCTCGTATAATATTCTTGAATCAGGCTACGCCTTCTGTTAACCCTAGATTACAAGATTATTGGCTCTCTCTCCTCTGTTTAGTTTTCCCCCCAACAATAGAAGGATATATATAGGGAAACCAAAACTCTATCTCTAGCCTAACTTCATAATTAGAATAGGATTCAAACTTCTAAGAAACTCAATCTCCTAATCATGATAGATCTCTAACCCTATCTAATTCTTATGAAGTTATACAAAGAATCAAAGACACAATCTCAACATTATTTTCCTATGGTCCATATTGTCCACAAAGATGTTAATAATTCATATGTGAGTACCCACATCAAATAGGATAAAATAAGAAAGAATTTTATGCACGTCAAAAAAAAGGTCAAATTAAGATTGTGAAAACCTTTGACAAATATCTCAAGAGTAACTTAAAAATGGAAATTTGATGCCAAATGTAAACCTTTGACAAATATCCAAAAGAGCAGATATTAGTTAACACCATGGGATGATCTAACTTTCATACATTTAGAATCGTAGATGGTACACTAACTACTTGCTTAAGAATTATGAGGAATCATTTTGAGATAGCATAATTATGAAGAGATCTACTACCTAATTTCTACTTGTTATTTCCAAGTTTGGGTTTTTTCTATAAGATTCACATGATTTCTTATAACAAAATGAAAATATATGCCCTTCATTAAGATAAGATCAACTATTTGTGGGACAACTTGTTTAGCTCATAGTGGGGACCAAGAAAGAGTAATAATTTTTGTTGGCCCACTGTACTATTGAAATTTGGTTCAATGATAAAGTTGATGTTGAAATATGAAAGAATCCTATGTTACGAGGTCAGAATGTATTAGGACTACCTAATACTTTCAGAATCCGCCAATTTTTTTAGATTTGATGATATGCGGGCAATTATTTGTGGAGACTTGAGAGATAGAAGTTACGAGAAAAGATCCAACATAGTTGAAGGAATCTAGATTTTTAAACGCTTTCATGAATTGGGCTGGCAAGAGTTTAGACTCGGCCCACGTTCAGGGCCTAACTAATCTTAGTGTGTCTCAACCGTCATCAAACATAAACACTTTTTAAGAATATGTAGCATCTTCAAATGAGGCCCAACCTGAGGCCCAATGTTTACAAAGAAGAACGTTACAGTTCCTTAATCTTTCCACCATATAACTAAATATAAATTTTATCAGAACATCCGCATACGAGCATTGTTATCATATTATAGAACTAAATATAAATCTTATCAGAACATCCGCATACAAGCATTGTTATCATAAAGTAACCACTGAAATCTCCAAACTATTCAACCACCGCCCGCTCCTGATGGTTCATAAAACCCTGCTTATTTGTGCTCGAACGTATTGTAGGCATTGTTGCCTCACAAAAACTCTTTTAAAACACCAGAAATGTATAGGAAAAGGAGTTTTCATTCAAGGGTTTCCCTACTCTAACAGTTTACTTTATCTCTCACAAGGACCTTACGCTGCCAGAATAATTGCGCAAACAAGCAGGATGGATTGGGATTTCCATGACAATGTGGTATCTTCAAAATTATATTAGTTCTCATGTTTCAGCAGATGCCAGTGAACACAATTCCTTTTACAGTTCCAAGAGATCAAGAAACAAGAAGAGTAGCCGATTTATCCAAAAAAACAGCAAAAGCATATTTCATTGGTACTTTTATTTGTAGGCCTTGCATAGCAAACACAAGCATAAAACCGTCCTACAATGGAAAACAACAGCTAATGCATAGTGAATAAAAACACATCCCTTGGAACATTTGACGTCAAATTTTCTGACCTAAACCACCATAACTTTCTCTGCCTCCTTCACCAACATCAGCTTCTGAATCGATAAAACATATAACAATTCCATTATCTTCATTCCTTCCCATCAGCAGCACGAAGAGAACCCAACTGCACTGGTGCCTGAGTTCCAACAACTTTGGATGAACCATAAACAGAGAGGTCAACGCCCTGAGTTTTCTCCTTCTCGATTTGATCCTTAATCCAGAAGTACGTAATCCTCAGCCCATCCTGTGAAACATAAAGGAAAGGTTCAATAATCCGTATAGTATTGAAGAGCTCAAGAAGATATTCAACATGGTGAAGCTGTAACTATTATAAATAATAGCGACACATCCCCATGTACAGCAATACCGGATTCAGGATTTTGTCCCAGTGGTGTCACGTATCTTGGAACAAGATCTGATCCAGAATTTTGTCCTAGCGGCGTCACCATATAACTTATTAGTTCACTAGAAGTAAAAGCATTGGCAATCGTACAATTTAGTCCTCCTTAGTTGTGTCACTCTAGTGGTATCATAACTAGCAAAAACAAATAAATAATAATACCCTAGGCAATCAAGCGGTGTCCCTTATGTAGATCCGCCACTGCCATAGAGGTGTAGTCACTTATAACCCCTAATCATTTTATTAGAACTTCTTAACCTCTGAACCCCAGATGGTGTTATTTTCTCTCCATATTGATGGAACCGTGTGCGGTTAATTACTCTCTCCGCCTCTTGATATAGCTTTAAAAAGGCTAAATCACCTCTGAACTGAGGGGAAATCTAAAATTTATTGTCATGTGATTCTCAAGCTCAGGAAGTGCAAGTGCTAATAATAGAATAATTTAAACTTAAAGGGTTTTTTCAATTAAGTCCGTTAAATCTTTAATTTGAAATTAGTACTACAAATCATTGAAATTGCTCTAGTCCCCCAATTCTTATATTTGGCAAGTGCTACTCTTGATGGGAGGGTTTAATTTGAAACAACCTATAGAATTAGGGGAGCTAATAGCAATTTCAATGATTTGAGGGGCAAATTTCAAAATATTAAAATATTAACTATTTAAGGGACTAATATCGAAAGATCCCAACCCTAAGTAAATGTGTGGTACCTTCAGCTTCATTGTGGGAGCCCAACCCAGCTTCTCCTTGATGAGAGTATTGTCAGAGTTGCGACCACGAACGCCCTCTGGACCTGGAATGTGGTGGATGGGAAGCTTCTTGTCCTCAAAACTCAGAACTATCTCCGCCATTTCGTTCATGCTTACCATTTCATCACTACCAATGTTCACTGGCTCCCGGAAATCCGACTTGGTCAGCCTAAAACACCACATGCATAATATTTAGCAATCAGAATCCAAGAAGGAAACTAGTCAACTACAGCCTTGTGTAGAAAAACTTTGCTCAATTTACTTTTATTATAGTATAGCCAATTGCAATAAGTGAAAGGGTAAATTGCAGACACACCCCCTTTATTATGAGGGGATACTAAAAAAAAGGCCTTATTATGAGGGGTACTCACATATACCCTCATAATGTATTTTATACTAACACTTAAAATCCCTGTGCCCCAGCTGACTTTAGTTCAAGTGATGTCACGTGATTCCCACATGACGAGAAATTACCTTTTGACTACAGTTTAACTGAAACAAACTAGATATGCTCTCTAACTTGACAGAGAAAAGTAATGTCGTCTGAGTTTCAGGAGTGCTAATAAAAGAGTTTGGGGTTTATCTATACCATCATAATAAATGCAGGGGGTGAAGCCAGGATTTTATTCAGAATGGGCACTAAAAATATCAATAGTTTTTAAAATTGAAATATTTTGTTCTATGAAAATGTTTTTTTTTATAAAACAAGAAAATATGGAGATAGGACTCGTTGAAGGCGAGGAAGTCAAGGCTGAAAGTTGCATAATTAGTCTAAAAGGAAGGAGTCGAGGTTGATGACGGGGATTATAGAGAAGAAGATCAATAATCATACGCATTTATTCCGTTACTGTTTTTTCTCGTGAAATTCCATGTTCACATATATCTCTAGTTGCAGGCCCTAACTAATGTTATAATAACATATGAATGTTTGATATGGTTTTGTTTAAAATTTAAATGATGCAATTGAGATGGGCACCATCATTTTAGATATTAGGCATAAAATGTTTTATGATTCAATAGAAATGAGTATAATTCTAAGTGTACTAAAATTAAATATTTATGAATCAATTGAGGTTGTCAAAACTTAAGGTGGAATAACTGCATGTGAAGATGATGAGTGTATAATGGTGATTGACAATACCTGAGCACACCTTCAACACATTCATCGATGAAAGTAAAGGAACGGGTTTGCAGTCCATCTCCCCACATCTCAAACTTGTCGGTAGCGGTAAGAGTCTTCCTGCAAAAAGCTGCAGGTGCTTTCTCCCTTCCACCTGCACAAAAAACCTCAAGCTTAAATACATTGTAATGCCAACAAGTAAAACAACTAAAAATACAAAATCATCAATTTAAGAAACAAATTCAATCCCCAAATTACCTTTCCACGTTCCAAAGGGACCATAAATATTGTGAAACCTTCCAATCCTACACTCAATGCCAAAATCCTTTGTGTAATGCTTGCAAAGCTCTTCAGTTGCGAGCTTTTCAAGTCCATAAGCATCTTGAGGCTAGATGAGAAAGAAATAGTCAATAAGCAAATGACTAGATATTTAAGAGAGACAGTTGAAAGGCATTAATTGCTTGAGACCAACGAACCTCAGCAGGCCATGCATCGGACTCCTTCAGGCTCACATTAGTTTCCAACTGCTTAAATTCAGGGTAAATACAAGCACTGGATGCATAGAAGAACCTGCATGCCATAAATTTTAGATTGCTTATATTCTTGATAAGAGGAAAGTGGAGTATTGAACAACCAGGCTATAAAAACCAAGAATACCATAATCTCCACCAATGTGGATGCAGAACATAGAAATTATGTCAAAAGTTGAAATATGAAAATGATACACATTCTAAAAAGAACATAGAAATTATGTCAAAAGTTGAAATATGAAAATGATACACATTCTAAAAAGACATAACAAAATGCATTGAATAAACCAAACATGTCTCCGAAAATGGAAGCTTATACATTAATGCACCATCATTTTGGTGCCATTTCTTCAAAGTGATAGAACAATGATACATTAACACCATCACATTAAATAAAACATAATAACATCTAACTTCCTAATGAACAATCAAGAAATGAAGAAACAAATAAGCCTAATGACATGTGTAGAGTTTAAAAAAAGTAAAAAGGACTTAATTATTGATTATAACAGAACCATTATTCATCAGAGAGAGATATCATCTGGACTGGAACATAAAACTTTTCAATGAGGCAGAAAAGAAATATCCTTTAGGTATATGCTTTCTAGTTACAAACATATAATTATGAACTTAAGAGTGGATGCATACCAAAAGCAAATATTAGGATGAATAAAACATATCAGCAATTGGAGAATAAAAAGTTTTCAGTGAAAGTTGGATAACAGGATAGAATACAGTAGGCAAGTTATCAGGAGTTGTTTCAGGATTTATGTCTTTCAAGTTAATTTCAACGTAAGCATCATGAAACTTTATTGTTGTTCACTATCATCTAAAATTCATTTGATACCTTTTTTAAACTTCTAAAAACTACAAATCAGGAAAGGAATATAATTGAACAAAATCAGAAGCACAATTAGAAAGTTTCAGGATTAATTTCTCAAAAGTAATCACAGAGTACTAAACATACTATTCATTTCCCCCCTGCTTTGTTGTTCGCTTTCTCAAAAGAAACCGAGAAGTGCACTGTTCAATATTCTAATGTACAATTATTTCATGCTAGTATTTGCTTAAGCAACAGTTCTATGGAATGATTATACAATGACATTGCGGCTTAACTTATATATATGTGCGCGCACGCGTGCATGTATGTATATGTGTGTGTATGTGTGTAGGGATTAATGGTTGTGAGGTGGCAGCTCATTTAACAAAATGAGCTACCAAGAGATGAAATGATGAGGTCCACACCTTTTGATGTGACAAGTAGGGTGGGCTTCATCACATGCACATCTCTTGGTAGCTCATTTTGTAATATGAGCTGCCACCTCATAAAAAATAGGTTTTTTAGATTAAAATCCCTACAACAAGTTGAAATTTTTTTGTTTAGTGACGGGATATATGGAAATATGTGAGTCGCTAGACATGGATTATGCATGTGCGCGTCTGCATGGTTTTGGAAGTAGATGCATGCTACGTGTTGTCTTGCAGGGCACAAGCCTTTATCCCGATTCCTTAAACTTCCTCCTTCAACTTTAACCCTCTTGATGCATGAGTGGAAAGTTACTATTGTCCCTACCGGGAGACAAATATATTCTGCAAGCAAGATATCGATAAAAACAACATTGGCGCCAAAAATAAAGGGACACAAGACCCCAGGTTTTTTTTTTTTTTTTGGCTGGCGGAGCGGGGGGGGCCTCGTGCCACGAAAGCCGTGCTGCCGCGCCATTTTAAAATTTGCTATTCTGCCCCCCGAGAATACAAGTTTCTTCCAAAAGAGCCCTTCATTGCTAAAAGTAATATTCCTTTATTTCGGAATAAGTTCTAGATGCTAGTCAATATTAATTGAACATGTACAGTGAAGGATTAGGAAAGTTAAGAGCAGAATTCTGTAGCATGAAACTATGAAAGTGGTTAAGGTAAATTTCCATCAATTAAGAATGGAAAATCTGTGCTAAGAGCTAGAAAATAAAAACTTTATTTTTGAAGCATCTAATATTTTATTTATATTTTCACGTATGAACTATGGGTTACATTTTATAAGCCTAGCATTTAGATTGTTACGAACTTCAGCATTTTTACATTTATTCTGCCACATCGAAAGTTGTTAATATTTCTGCACTATATCATGTCACATTATTATGTATGTGTCACAATTCAAATCTTTTATAGTTGTTCATCTACTATATGCCCTCATATAGACTTCATAGAGTCTCGCATGTAAAGGGAATATCTAAACATGTGAAAAGAATACGGAATAAAACACCACAAACCTTTTGACACCATTAATTCTCCCCGCTTCAAGCATATTGAAACTGATCATCGTATTATTATACATAATAACAGAATGGTTCGATTGTATAAACCCCATTCCTCCCATATCAGCAGCAAGATTGAAAACATGATCTGCTCCCTTGGTGACCTTGAGGCAATTGTCCATGACCCTTAAATCAACAAGGTGGAACTCATGGCAAAACATGTCCTCAGGCATGTGCTCATTCTTTTTCCAGTCAGAAGCAATAATGTAGTGGCCCTCGCTCTTTAAACGCCTTGCAATGTGAGATGCGATGAACCCTCCAGCTCCAGTGATGGAGATGCGTAGTTTTTCGGATGGCCAGTATAGTTCTCTTTCCAAGTTTGCATATGTGTATTCTCCATAGTTTGTTCCGTTTTTGTCGGTGTCACCCATCTCCTGCAAAGTTCATTAAATCTCAATATGAGGGGGTTCATCTCTACTAGTCATGGTATTTGCAGTTCCTAAATTGAGAAAAGGATGAATTTATGATTTATAAGTTCTAGCTTTTTTTCCATTGAGAGCCCAAATATTTCCCACAAAAGATGTCAGTTTATTGAATTAGCAAAACTAAAAAAAATAAAAAAGGGGAGAAGATGTGTCAACCATAAGAAAACATCCCAAAAGAGATTAAAGAAAAATACATGAAAAAACAAGGCATATATCAATAGTAGATGGTGATTGTGGAAACAAAATGAATACAAAAAGGAGAAACAAAATGAATACAAAAGGGAAAAACAAATAATGGAAAGAGACAATAGACAAGTTTATTTTCAGCACCTGTGATAAACAGTTGATAACAATTCTGCAATAAACCTAAATAACAGACATAAATAGTAATACAAAATCGAAGCGATAGCTAACTTCTCCAACATAAAGGCAACTTATTCACATTAATCCAGTATTTATCAGAAAGGAAAACCTTCAGGCGAGCATTGAATCTAAAATGTGAAAGGACATGATAAAACAAATTCATGTGTAACAATTTTTTTTAAAATCCTCAATCCATAAGAAATGCTCGGGAAACTTCCGACAGTCCAAAAGAAACCATATAATGCAAACTTATGTATAGACTTAAAAGTGAAACTCTTACAATTTAAGAGGACCTCAGCTTCACATAGACTGAATCCTGGTTTTATCTCAGTATCACACTAATTTAAGGTATTTTAATCGATAAAATCAAACATCTACAACCCAAACTGTCATCTTGGATAAAGTATATGCTATAACCTTCCACAGATCAGATGACAAAGACAAAAAAAAAGTTAGCAATCAGCAACAGAGTAAACTATCATCATATATCTAATTTTTTTCATCACCAACAGTCTGTTTGATTATTCACAAAGCCAAGATGCAATCTTTAACTCTTGGGCTTTTCCAAAAACCCATCTTTAGCACCACAAAACCTCATAATTCACTCCTAAACCTAAAAAAAGTAAAATGTAAACTCCAAACTTAAAAACCCAGATCCAAGGTAAACACACTTAAAGAAAATTCCCAAAAAAAAAAAACCATAGCAAAAAATTCTTTAAATAGCATATCATACTTCGTGAAAAGCCCTTACCTTCCGGATAACAATGATGGCAATGATTAAAAAAAAAGGAAAAAGTTGATAAATTTTACCTCAGAGATTGAAAGCAAGAGAGTGAGAGGTTGTTCGCAGACAAAAAGCAAAAATAAGGATTTTGAGAGGATATCTGAGGAGACCTAGGCCCTGATCCTGTCGATATATAAAGGGGAAAGAATCGAAAGATAGGATTTAAGAATTGGATTAATTGGATTAATTTAAAGATTTTTTAAGGAATTAATTAATTTAACGAATTATTGTCCTTTTTTACCAAAAAAATTATCATCCAATTTGTTTATGCAAATTATTGTCCTTGTTTTGTAATTTTAATTGGTCAGGGCATGCATCTGGCCTTTCTCCAATGGCTCTGGAGCTGCCACGTGTATGTGGACCCCGTGAGTGGGTCAAGGTTGGTAGTCGCAGCTTATATCATGCCGCTATGGGGCCGACTTGTTGACGATTGACACTCTCGTGGGCGCTTTTCATCCTAATAAAAAGACTTTTATGCATGAAGATACCTCTTAAATAGGTCTATTATGTTTTGGAAATCAACTATGCAATTGTACCTTCTTTTAATGCAAAATGAAAACCCTATTACAAAGTTCTACTTTACAAGAATCGTTTCAAGCTGTTCATTTCTTTGTCGTACCCATGGGCTTGCAAGCAAATTATGATCATGGTTCTTGCTTGAAAAGACAATTAAACAAGTTTAAAAATGGGAACCATTAAAAACCTTCTTAGTTTTTTCCTCTTTGAAGCAAGGGGGTGTTTGGTTCAATTTCTACAAATTTCTACAAATTGTAGGAAATGTTTTCCACCCAAAATATGATATCCTTGTATTTCTTAAAAAAGTTATTAGAAAAGTTTTGAGAAGTCAAAAACTACCAATTTTCTTATTTTTTGTACTTTGCTTGCTTGGTTCAAAACAAAAAAATAGCTCATAACTTTATAGAAAATAGCAAGATTGCCTATAATTTGTAGAAATTGAACCAAACGCCCCCTAAATTTATAGAAAAATGTCAACTTTATAGAAAAGTGTCAATGAAGTGTCAGATTTCTGGGTGATTTTCGTCCATTTTGAGAGGAAATTGATTTCTGTAAATTTTGGTATTTTTCTGTACTTTACAAAAAACATTTCTATAAATTTTTTTGAACCAAACACAGTTTATGAAAATCTATAGAAAAATTTTTAATTACAAAAATATCATTGTCAGTCCTTCTGAGATAACGTTTCTATAAAATTTTTGAACCAAACACCTCCTAAGAGTCACAATCTGATTTCTAAAATTGAGAATGAAGAAAGGTCGTCTCTTTTATCATTGATTCCATCCATATTAGCATCTATTATTTTATCATTTAGACTGTTTGCATATGTAAACACTTCAATATTAATGTAACTATGGATCGCTCCTATTCTATTTCATTAGCATGTCCTAACGCAGCGCGGAAGTGATAACCTTAGAATCCACCAAGGGTGTTATCTGAATCCACAAAGAACGATCTTCAAATCCATGAAGAAAATATTAAAAAGAGAAATTTTATTGATGAAAAGTTATTCTCTTTTGGGGTTACATGACTCTTCTTAAATAGAAAAACTAATAAGACTACTAGTAAGACTAGAATTATAAAAATAAAAAGTATCAAATAAGACTCCTAGTAAGACTAGAATTATAAAAAAAAAGGTATCAAATTCTATCCTAAAAAGACTCCTTATAATAGAAGAAACAAATCATGATTCAAAATTGATTTTGTTTCCTAATCTAATTTAATTCTAAAATTGAATTTATTTCCTAATCTATATTTCTTAATCTAAATAGACTCCAACTCAGATTAAGCATCCTACATCAGTCTCCCATTATTGAAAGAAGCTCGACCCGAGCTTATATTTATTAGAATAGTAGCTTCATTGATAAATATTTTTTTTTTCTTGCAATGATCAACATCCGCCTTGTATTTAGTATTGATTTTCTCCATTTGTTCTTTTACCTCCTCTGCTCTTGCAATGATCAACATCCGCCTTGTATTTAGTATTGATTTTCTCCATTTGTTCTTTTACCTCCTCTGCTAGGACTTCTTTTGTATTTAGTATTGATTTTCTCCATTTGTTCTTTTACCTCCTCTGCTAGGACTTCTTTTGTATCAAACTTGTATATGAATCTTTTCCATGACAAGTGTATGCAACTGACAGCATGTGGCTCTGTAGTTAACATGAAAAATTCTTCCAAATATTTTCCCTGTTGCTTCCTATATTTTAGGGAGTGTTTGGTTACCAGTGTGTTTTTTTTCGTTTCAGTTTTTTTTCTTCACAAAAACAATCACACGCATTTGGGAACTGAGCTGTTTTTTTAAGCTGACCCTTCACCAAGTCCAAAAAATCCACGCTTTCCTCAAAACACCTAAAAGGTGTTTTTGAGATCCGTTTCTTTTTCTCCCCCAAACCCCCGATGCCCTTTTCTCCCCCCAGACCCCCGATCCCATTTTCCCCTCAGCCCTAACCCTCGTCGTCGCCTCTCCGAATCGTCGCCACTCCGCTGCCGCCTCCGACCGTTGCCGCCTCCTACTCTCCACCACATCCTTCGCCTCAAGTCCAAGTTGCAGCGGGAGATCTTGGACCTCAAGTCCAAGCTGGCCTTCCTCCGCCTCAAGTCGCCCCTCGACAACCACCATCTCCGCCTCAAGTCCCCCCTCAACAACCACTACCTCCACCACTCTGAAATCGCCACCCCCGACCCGTCGCCTAGCCACTGTTCTTCCCCTGAAAATTTGGGAGATAATTTTTTTAATGGGTTTGTATTTTTGCTAATCGTCTATGTTCATGTAGATTGTTTGAGTTTTTCTAAGTGGGTTTTGTTTGTGGATTTGCCTGTACAATTTTTGGTCAATAATTTTTTTGAGTTTGTAGAGGAATAATTCTTGTGTTTTGGTTACCAGAAAACAAGTTTGAAAAATAAACACCATGGTATGGTGTTTTTTAAAAAAAACACTACAAAAAAAAACAATTTGGTTACCAAACACACTCTTAGTGTCGGCGGTATCATCTCATCGTTGTTGAAATTATTGATGATCATTGCTTCCAAATAAGAATTTTCTCCATCATACTCCATACATAATTCTTTCATCTTCTTTGCCTCGAGCCCTCCACCAAGCAATTCATACATACCATCAGTTGCCTCGCTCTCTATTTTATCCTTCTCCTCCATCGGGGCAATATCAATATGTGTAACATCACTCACGATATCATGTAGAAAATTCATCTTCATTAACATATCATCATCAACATCAGGAACCTCAGGATGAATCTTGATGGTGGCAAAATCTTCCTTTCTAAGTGCCTTGTTGTTTGCCACTAGAGACATCTGCCATTGCTTGTAGTTAGAAGGTAAGAAACGATCTCTCAATAATTTCTTCATCTTTGCCCACGTTGGAACCAGATCCTTTCCTTGATGGTATCGATTTATCAGTACTTCATCCCACCATGCAGATGCTTTTTCTTTAAGCCTGTAGACAACTAATTTAACTTTCCAAATCTTCTGGGATTATATTATACTCAAAATACTTATCCATTTTATCAATCCACTCAAGGAAATCATCAGCATGAAGCTTTCTATTGAAGGATGGTATTTTTAATCCCCCAGCATCATAGTTCTCTTTTCTTCGGTAGCCTCTATGATCATCGCTGTAGAATTTATCTTGTGAAGTCAGATCACGTCGTTGGCGACCTTGGCGACCATCAACGCGATTTTGAACTCCCCATGTTCAGACGCTCAACTGCCGCCGCAAGTCGCTCCATGACAATCTTCATCTGATTACCATCGGCCTTTAGCACGTCGAACTCAGTTCGAGAAATAGGGGCTTCGTCACCTGCCATCGGATCGAAGGAACAAGGCTCTGATACCAATTGACGCAGCGCGGAAGTAATAATCTCGGAATTCACCAAGGGTGTTCTCTGAATCCACAAAGAACGATCTTCGAATCCACGAAGAACTTTGAATCCACGAAGAAAATATTGAAAAGTGAAATTTTATTGATGAAAAGTTATTCTCCTTTGGGGTTACATGACTCTTCTTAAATAGAAAAACAAATAAGACTCCTAGTAAGACTAGAATTACAAAAATAGAAAGTATCAAATAAGACTCCTAGTAAGACTAGAATTACAAAAAAAAAGTGTCAAATTCTATCCTAAAAAGACTCCTTATAATAGAGGAAACAAATCATGATTCAAAATTAATTTTGTTTCCTAATCTAATTTGACTCTAAAATTAAATTTATTTCCTAATCTATACTTCCTAATCTAAATAGACTCCAACTCAGATTAAGCGTCCTACATCATGTACATTCCCTAATTTTTATGACAACACGATATTATGCAGCTTACCGAGAAAATCATCATTTTGCGGGAATTTAAAAACTAACGAAAACATGTTGTCACAAGATCAGGGCATGTACGTATGTGCTAATAAATGGTAAATGATACATATGTAACACCATTTCCCCCCCTGGACAAAACATATCTGCCTCCGATTGTACCATGTCCAGTGCACTTTGAAAGGAATATTTTCTTGGATTCTCAAGAGGAGATTGTTTTAAACGCGGCCGGTACCTTGTTAGCTGCCAAATTTATATGAGCAGTGATTGCTTGGTTCAAGAGAGAAGAAGACAATCTATGCTTGCGGATGGCTCTCATGGCTGTCAAAACACCATTTGTCTCCAAAGATCAAAGGGAAATAAAGAAGCATGTTGCTTTTCACAGGTAATGGGAGAGTATTGAACCACGCGCCCTTCAACAGTACGTCAAAATATAGCGTTTTTAAAACTCCCCAGAGGAAGCATGTTATCGACTTTCAGGGGGTGAAACGTAAATTCCCCTTTAAAACATAGTC